AACTCGCACTTTTTCAGGCCTTCCTTCCTTATCACACACTGCTTTAAACAACTGTAAGGCCTTTTCCCTAATTAAGATGAAATTAAGTGGTGCACCTCTCTCTGTCTTTTGTTCAATCCACTCAAGCAACAAGTTTTCTGTTTTATTTACTTGTTGGGACCTACGTGTCATTCTTTTCACGAGATGACATCTTGGGCTATTCATTACACAAGCTCATATATTCACCTCATTCTTTTTAATTGTATGAACCGACACTTCATTAAGGCCATAAGCCCTCACTATATCCACCACACGTGATCCACTCTTAAGCTTGTCTAATCTCAAAATATTTTCTTCACAATTCCTAGACTTGAATGCTTAAACCTTTTCTTGTCACTTTCAGCAACACTTGTATGCTTACTGGGTGCCATGATTGCTTGGCAGATTTAACAACTGACAATGAAAATATGTAGTACAATGAATGTAAATAAACACAGCAAGATTCCCTAGTATCTTCGTCCTGCACGTGTATCAACTGAACTGGAGGCTGGGAGCGTGGTGTGGTTGGGTGTGGGTGGCGGGGGGATGGCAGTAGGCCTTCCCTATTGACTCAATGGTATAACTCACCACGGGCAACCAGGCGCCCAAAACTTTCTCCCCTCCCGCGAATCATGTTAAATTGATTATACGATGTGTTATATAAAATTGTGTCAATTCTTCAATCATGCTATACTTAAATCATACCAAGTAAACTTGTGCTAAATGATGGTCTACTGTATATTTTTTCAACAAGTCAGCCATCTCCAACCGAGGCAGGGTGACCCAAAAAGAAAAAATCAAAACACTTTCACCTCATTTATACATAATCACTGTCTTTGTAGAGGCACTCAGATACAACAGTTTAGAAGTCCCTCCAAACTCTCAATATCCCAGAGCCCTCCTTTAAAGTGCAGGCATTGTACTTCCCATTTCCAGGACTCAAGTCCGGCTAAATCTATAATAACCAGTTTCCTTGAACCACTTCACTAAATATTACCCTGCTCACACTCCAACAGCTCCTGGAGTTTACCTGGAGAGAGTTCCGGGGATCAACGCCCCTGTGGCCCGGTCTGTGACCAGGCCTCCTGGTGGATCAGAGCCTGATCAACCAGGCTGTTGCTGCTGGCTGCATGCAAACCAACGTACGAGCCACAGCCCGGCTGGTCAGGAACCGACTTTAGGTGCTTGTCCAGTGCCAGCTTGAAGACTGCCAGGGGTCTGTTGGTAATCCCCCTTATGTATGCTGGGAGGCAGTTGAACAGTCTCGGGCCCCTGACACTTATTGTATGGTCTCTTAACATGCTAGTGACACCCCTGCTTTTCATTGGGGGGATGGTGCATCGTCTGCCAAGTCTTTTGCTTTCGTAGTGAGTGATTTTCGTGTGCAAGTTCGGTACTAGTCCCTCTAGGATTTTCCAGGTGTATATAATCATGTATCTCTCCCGCCTGCGTTCCAGAGAATACAGTTTTAGGAACCTCAAGTGCTTCCAGTAATTGAGGTGTTTTATCTCCGTTATGCGCGCCGTGAAGGTTCTCTGTACATTTTCTAGGTCAGCAATTTCACCTGCCTTGAAAGGTGCTGTTAGTGTACAGCAATATTCCAGCCTAGATAGAACAAGTGACCTGAAGAGTGTCATCATGGGCTTGGCATCCCTAGTTTTGAAGGTTCTCATTATCCATCCTGTCATTTTTCTAGCAGATGCGATTGATACAATGTTATGGTCCTTGAAGGTGAGATCCTCCGACATGATCGCTCCCAGGTCTTTGACGTTGGTGTTTCGCTCTATTTTGTGGCCAGAATTTTGTTTTGTACTCTGATGAAGATTTAATTTCCTCGTGTTTACCATATCTGAGTAATTGAAATTTCTCATCGTTGAACTTCATATTGTTTTCTGCAGCCCACTGAAAGATTCGGTTGATGTCCGCCTGGAGCCTTGCAGTGTCTGCAATGGAAGACACTGTCATGCAGATTCGGGTGACATCTGCAAAGGAAGACACGTGCTGTGGCTGACATCCTTGTCTATGTCGGATATGAAGATGAGGAACAAGATGGGAGCAAGTACTGTGCCTTGTGGAACTGAGCTTTTCACCGAAAGCTGCCTGGGACTTTACTCTGTTGACTACTACTCTCTGTGTTCTGTTAGTGAGGAAATTATAGATCCATCGACCGACTTTTCCTGTTATTCCTTTAGCACGCATTTTGTGCGCTATTATGCCATGGTCACACTTGTCGAAGGCTTTTGCAAAGTCTGTATATATTACATCTGCATTCTTTTGTCTTCTAGTGCACTTAGGAAACCTTGTCGTAGTGATCCAATAGTTGAGACAGACAGGAGCGACCTGTTCTAAAACCCATGATGCCCTGGGTTGTGTAAGTGATGGGTTTTTCTAGATGGGTGGTGATCTTGCTTCTTAGGACCCTTTCAAAGATTTTTATGATATGGTATGTTAGTGCTATCGGTCTGTAGTTCTTTGCTGTTGCTTTACTGCCCCCTTTGTGGAGTGGGGCTATGTCTGTTGTTTTTAGTAACTGTGGGACGACCCCCGTGTCCATGCTCCCTCTCCATAGGAAATGGAAAAGGCTCGTGATAGGGGCTTCTTGCAGTTCTTGATGAACACGGAGTTCCATGAGTCTGGCCCTGGGGCAGAGTGCATGGGCATGTCATTTATTGCCTGTTCTTAGCCATTTGGCATCAGGATAACATCGGATAGGCTTGTGTTAACCAAATTTTGTGGCTCTCTCATAAAAAATTCATTTTGATCTTCGACTCTCAGTCTGATTAGCGGCTTGCTAAAAACTGAATCATATTGGGACTTGAGTAGCTCACTCATTTCCTTGCTGTCATCTGTGTAGGACCCATCTTGTTTAAGTAGGGGCCCAATACTGGACGTTGTTCTCGACTTTGATTTGGCATAGGAGAAGAAATACTTTGGGTTTCTTTCGATTTCATTTATGGCTTTTAGTTCTTCCCGCGATTCTTGACTCCTATAAGATTCCTTTAGCTTAAGTTCGATGCTTGCTATTTCTCTGACCAATGTCTCCCTACGCATTTCAGATATATTGACCTCTTTTAGCCGCTCTGTTATTCTTTTTCCGTCGCCTGTAAAGGGAGCGCCTGTCTCTTTCTATTTTACATCTACTCCTCCTTTTTCTAGAGGAATAAGCCTTGTGCATACATCGAGTGCCACCAAGTTAATCTGTTCTAGGGATAAGTTGGGGTCTGTGTTGCTTAGTATATCTTCCCAGCTTATATCGGTTAGGACTTGGTTTACTTGGTCCCACTTTATGTTTTTGTTATTGAAGTTGAATTTGGTGAATGCTCCCTCGTGACTAGTCTCATTATGTCCCGGTCTGGGCTCCACGCATACATGTCTGAACCTCAATTATGTTGTGATCTGAGTATATTGTTTTTGATATGGTGACATTTCTTATCAGATCATCATTGTTAGTGAAGATGAGGTCTAGTGTATTCTCCAGTCTAGTAGGCTCTATTATTTGCTGGGCTAAATTGAATTTTGTGCAGAGATTTAAAAGCTCGTGTGAGTGTGAGTTTTCATCAGAGCTGCCTCCTGGTGTTATTACTGCAACAATATTATTTGCTATATTCCTCCATTTTAGGTGCCTTAAGTTGAAATCCCCCAGGAGCAAGATGTTGGGTGTAGGAGCTGGCAGATTTTCCAGACAGGTCAATTTTTAACAGCTGTTCCTGGAATTGCTGGGATGTTGCATCCGGAGGCTTGTAGACTACCACAATGACTAGGTTTTGGTTCTCGACCTTTACTGCTAAAACTTCCACTACATCAATTGAGGCATTTAGCAGTTCTGTGCAAACAAGTGACTCTGCAATGTACAGGCCAACCCCCCCCCCCCCCCCTTTTGCCTGTTCACTCTGTTACATCTGTATAGGTTATAACCTGGGATCCATATTTCGTTGTCCAAGTGATCCTTCATGTGGGTCTCAGTGAAAGCCGCGAACATTGCCTTTGCCTCTGCAAGCAGTTCACGGATGAAAGGTATTTTGTTGTTTGTTGCTGGCTTTAGACCCTGTATATTTGCAAAGAAGAATGTCATCGGACTGGTGGTATTGTTGGTACTGGGGGGGGATTTTTTTTTCCGGCATTAGTATCTGTATCTGTTGGTTTGGAGTGGAGGCCATCGACTGTGGTTCCACTCCAGGAATGACTGGATTTGGTGTACGATTTCTGCCATTTCCTGCCAGTTTTTTTTTCCTTCCTGGCACTAAAAAACCTCTCCCTCTTGAGTGGCTGTGGCTACCCAGGTTTTCCCATGGCCTGGATGTTTTGTATATTTTTGTCCCCTTTAGATGGTGTGCCTGGCAATTTAAGTTATAGCACAGTCTTTCCTGTACTGAAGAGGTACACATTTCAGGGTGAAAAAGCTTACAGGACGGGAGTTTGCATTTTCCTGTTGTCATATGGGCATGGCATTTTCTAGGGTGGTCATAGTTGCACGTCCCGTCTGTTTTTCCAGCTCGTCAAGTCCCAAAAAACCATTCGTCTCCATGTACTCCTATCTAACACGCTTGCTGGAAGTTACACATTTATACGCTCTCCAAGTCATTCTACTTTGATCTATTCTCTCTAAATGACCCTCCTCCCCGGCTGGTACTTTAATGTCGCTGATGCTGATTAGTGATATTTTTTTCACCAAATTCAAGACTATAAAATTGTAAGTTTTTATCAGATTTCACTCATTTTAGTCTTACTAATTCAGAAAAACAAACTATTGATCTGTAAGAAGAAAATACTTTTTTATTTTTCAAAATCTTCTGACATGCACAGGATTTTTTTTTTTTTTCAGGGTCTCCCATAGCTGAAGGGTTAAGAGTGTATAAATCTGGCAAAAATAGGCCGCATAGGAGATATCTGAGGAAGGGTAGGAAAATTTTTAATAGATACAAGTGTACATTTCTTGAAACTGACCTACACTAAAACAATCCTCAAAGAAATGCAATTAAAACAAAATGCTGGTTGTGAAAGAAAAGAGGTGCAAAAGTGCTTACCTTCATTGCATCATTGGATGTGCCAATGATTGAGCCTACTTCATTCAGATCTTTGAGGAGGGACACTAACATTTCATTTATACGTTTCTTTTGATGTAACTGAGAGTCCCTCACTGTCTGTAGTTCTGAAGTAGCCACACTTAGCGATGCCTGTGAAAAAAAATGACATTAGTTGTAATAGATAATAACGGAAACCTCCATCAGTTTCCATTCAAGTATAATGATAGTTAAAATTAGTGCAATTTTTAATAAAAGAAAAACTCACCAATATTAAGTCTCGTTTTGTAACAAATACAGACTCTCCTCACTAAACGATGAGGTTCCATTTCTAAGAGTAGGTCGGTAAACAAATTAGTCGTTAAGCGAGGACCATACTATACTGGTGGTGGGTTTGTGTCGACCATCTTTTAGATATTTTTTTAATGTACTTTTGTACCATTTATAGTATATTTTTAAATGTTTATACAGTAGTGTACTGTATACTGTAATAAACAGAAAAGAGGAAATCAGCTCTAATATACATTACTTAAGTTTGCATACTGGCTGGAGAGATGGTTGCAAGTCTGAGTGGTTGGTAAACGAGTATGTTGTTAAGTGAAGAGAGGCTGTGTTAAATTTGCCTCATTGCTTATCTATGTACAGTAATTAAAGAAAATTATGACTACTGTAATTATATAATACTGTATTAAGTGCTGTACAGTACCTGCTTCTGACCAAGTTCCTCTGTCAAACTCTCATTTTCTTTACTCTTGCGCTCTACTTCTTCAGTCTTCTGATCATAGTTTACAGCCAGCTCCTCCAGGGCCTGTAATACTTCTTTTACTTCTTCTTTAGCCTTCTCATTCTCATTACTTAGTCTGGTCATTTCTGACTGCAGAAGCTCATAGTCTCGTCGTGTTGAAGATATTAACTAAAAAATAACCCCCACATTCATTTTAATTAGTGTGGTATCAATACAAAGAAAGATACTGTAACTAAGTAATATAACAACATAAGAAAGGAGGAACACTGCAGCAGGCCTGTTGGCCCATACTAGGCAGGTCCTTTAGATCTATTAATATTAATTTCTAAAAACTAAATATATTAATTAATTTCTAAAACTCATAAGACAGGGGCATTAAAATTATTTAATGAAAACCACAGTAACAGGATTGCCACTGATGAAAATCATGTGCTGTATTAGAGGATGTATAATTCAATAAAACATGCACAATCAACATATCCATGTTATAAGAACATAAGAATGGAGGAACACTGCAGCAAGCCTACTGGCCTATACAAGGCAGGTCCTTATCAAAATTACTCATTCCCACCTACATATTTGTCCAATCTTAACCCAAAGTTACCCAAGAATTTGCTTCAGTACCTCAGGTACTAAACAAACCCAGCCCTTTTCACTCGTATATTTATGACTATTCCAATGGAAGTTATACCTACACAAGTTAAAACACAGCCACTAAATGAATATTGTTATTAATGCTTATAAGCACATACATACCTCTTCTTGCTCAAGCATTTGTTCCTTAAGCTTTTCTACTAGCTGTGACTGATGATTGATTTCATCATCTTTTTCATCCAAATTTTGGTAGAGGCGTTCCCTCTCTCGTGCCCACTCAGCCGCATCACCATCCACAGCCACAGGAGGAGCCAAAACTTGATCTGTAATAAAGTTTATATCACAATTAATATACAGAGGAAAAAAAATACAGATGAGCCCAATACATTATAAAGCTACTCAAGTTAGTGTGTTTTTACCTAAAAATGCAGGTGTCAAAAAAATTTCCACATTCTCCAGCATAAAAGGCACACCCCAATTTTGGCAGGCATTTTGAGGGGGAAAAAAAAAAAGTACTCTTTTCAAAATGATACTGAGCCAGTGTCTGGCTGCTTATTAGAACAGTGTGGCTGACAGAGATGGGAACCTTGCACAGCCTGTCCTCTCCTCTGCCACCACTAACCACCAAAGCATGGTTACTTGTTATTTACAGATAGTCACACCTATTGTTATTCTTTATTATAATTACCCAATGACCCTGAAATGAGCAAATTCGCCGATGACACAAAGACAGGTAGGATAATTGATTCAAACACATACGTCATGGAACTTCAGGGGGTTTAGATAAACTCAGTATCTGGTCAGAAAAGTGGCAGATGCAGTTCAATGTAGATAAGTGCAAGATTTTGAAGCTGGGGAGTGTCCATAACCCTAGCACTTTTAAGTTAAATAATGTAAAACTTAGCCATACAGATTGCAAAAAGGACTCGGGGGTTATGGTAAGCAGCAACCTTAAACCAAGACAGCAATGCCTAAGCATACGTAATAAGGCAAACAGATTACTGGGATTTACATCAAGAAGTGTAAGCAACAAAAGTCCAGCAGTTATATTACAGCTATATACATAAGAACATAAGAATGGAGGAACACTGCAGAAGGCCTACTGCCCCATACAAGGCAGGTCCTTATCAAAACGACCTCTACCCAAAGCTACCCAAGAATTAACTCCCGTACCCAATGACACCAATCAAAGCCAGCCCCTCCCACTCATATATCTGTCCAGTCTCTTCTTAAAGCTACCCAAGGTCCTAACCTCTATCACCCTACTGGGAAGATTGTTCCACGCATCCACAACTCTGTTAGAAAACCAGTACTTACCTATGTCCTTTCTAAATCTAAATTTATCCAACTTAAATCCATTATTTCTAGTTCTTAACTGGTTTGACACCCTCAGTACTTTATTAATATTTCCTTTGTTTATGCCCATCATCCACTTACACACTTCAATGATATCTCCCCTCACTCTACGTCTGTCCAGAGTGTGGAGATTTAAGGCTTTAAGTCTATATTCATATGGGAGATTCCTTACACAGTAAATCATTTTAGTCACTCTTCTCTGTATGTTCTCCAATGAGTCTATATCCATCCTGTAGTAAGGAGACCAAAACTGAGCAGCATAATCTAAATGAAGCCTCACCAGTGATGTATAGAGCTGTAAAATAACTTTTGTACTTCTGTTACTTATACTTCTTGAGATAAACCCAAGTAATCTGTTAGCCTTGTTGCACACTTAAGCACGCTGTCTTGGCTTTAGGTTTCTGTTTACCGTGACTCCCAAGTCTTTTTCACATTCTGTATGATCAATATCAAAATGGTATACAATACCGACAGGTTGGTAGGTAAGACACAGACAACAGTTACGCAACTTTATTCCGAAACGTTTCGCCTACACAGTAGGCTTCTTCAGTTGAGTACAGAAAGTAGGCAGGAACAGTAAAGATGTGAAGACGATGTAACCAGTCCATCGACTTCAAGGGTGATGGACCGATTATAATGTCTTCACATCTCTACTGTTCCTGCCTACTTTCTGTACTCGACTGAAGAAGCCTACTGTGTAGGTGAAACGTTTCGGAATAAAGTTGCCTAACTGTTGCGTATGTGTCTTACCTACCATCCAGTATGATCAAGCTCTACTTCACCTAGTTCACAGCTTCGAGGGTTGTTTTCATTACCACACTGAACTTATCTGCCATTAGTAAGGCCTCACCTAGATTACGCAGCTCAGTTTTGGACATAAATTTGTTAGAAAACATTCAGCGTAGAATGACTCAATTAACCCTTAAACTGTCCAAATAGATCTATGTTCACATGCGTAGTGCTCCAAAAGTAGATCTACATTTTTTTTACATATTTTCAAATATAAAAAAAAATACATCAAAGTTTTTTTACATGTTTTCAAATGTAAAAAAAAAAACAAAAAGAAGCTCTACATTTGTTTACATACTTTCAAATGCTGAAAAAACGTAGATCTACGTCTGGACAGTTCAAGGGTTAATACATGGCATTAGAAATCTTCTGTATGGAGAGAGATTGAAGATCCTTAAACTACACTCGCTTGTTAGATGAAGAATGAGGGGAGACATGATCGAAGTGTATAAGTAGAAGATGGGTATTTACAAAGTGGATATAGATAAGGCTTTGAGGATATCCCTCCAAGAGCGAACCTGCAATAATGGATTCAAAATATATAAGTTTAGATTTAGAAAGGATATAGGAAAGTATGTACTGGTTTGGTAATAGGGTAGTTGATGAGTGGAACAGTTTGCCTAGTATGGTTATCAAAGCTAAAATCTTAGGTAGTTTCAAATTTAGGTTGGATAAGTACACGAGTGAGAGGGGTTGGATTTGAGTGGGACCTGCACGTGAGTAAACAGAATTGTCAAACCTTATTGCTTGGGTAGTGTTTATTCTGTTAGTGGGTTAGATCTGTGAAGGACCTGCTTAGTATGGGCCAACAGGCCTACTGCAGTGTTCCTCCTTTCTTATGTTCCTGATACATTACAATTATTTACAACTTCTGAAGCTGATTTCCTTAATATGTACCAGTAACTTTTTTTTTTTTTTAACACATTAGCCATCTCCCACCAAGGCAGTGGGACCCAAAATAAAAAAGGGACCCAAAATAAAAAACACTTTCACCATCATTCAAACATAATATTACACTGTCTTTGCAGAGGTGCCCAGATATGGTAGTTTAGATGTCACTCCAAACAGTCAATATCCCAGACCCCTCCTTTAAAGTGCAAGCACTGTATTTTCCACATTCAGGACTCAAGTCTGGCTAACTGATTTCCCTGAATCCCTTCACAAAATATTACCCTGCTCACACTCCAACAGCTCATCAGGTCTCAAAAACCATTCGCCTCCATTCACTCCTATCTAACATGCGCACATGCCTATAATTTATAAGTTACTAATCACCTTAGTGTGAGAAACAGATTTGTACAGGGAGGGCAGTACAGGTACAACATAAATTTTCCAGACCCTTTGGTTCCAAAGCCTTTCCTGATTACTGAGTTTTCCGCCATTAGAGCACAGTATTCCTTGGTCTTGGGATTGGATAAATGATGTACAGTTGGGTGGTAAATACACTGGCATGGAAATTTCAAGTTCCTGATCATAAATTTGTATGAATTATAAGAGTTTCCGGACCATTTGTGTCCGGAAAATCGAGATTGTACCTGTATTTAGATTTTAGTTTACTAGTGTCTCAGCACTGAAACCACCACTTGCCAGTAATCCAAAGCCTGCCCTTGATCTTGAGCATACAAGGGACAAGGTGATTTTAAGACACTTTTGTGTGTGTGTGTGGCAGGAGGGTGGAACAAAGTGCCTTACAGTTTGTGCAGAAAGTTATGATACCAACGGGTTGAAGTCATGGCTTCATGTAACTGATTTTATATACTTGTATGGTTCTTGTGGGATGCAAATTGTGATGTTCATCTGGCCAAGCTGTATAAACATTTAGAAACACAGTATACTTCACAAGCCTCCCACAAGTAACATTACAAGGAAAGATGTGTTATTTTGGTGCATGCATCAGAGGCCAATATTTTGGTTTGTGTGTGGTCACTAACCCCTCTCTTGTAACAACAATAATGACCAGAAGTGGATATAACTGCTATGACTGCCTTGCATAAGGGTAGAGATGATACACTACTGCTGATCAAATTGTGTTCAGTGCTGCATCTCATCAAATGTGTTCATGAATAGGAAGAGACCTACATTCCAATCTCTTTTTTAATGACTGGCAAACCTAAATTAATGTGCCCAATGACTCTGCAAATGATTCCTCATGACAGAGAAAAACTGTTGGTTATTAGACCAAGTGTCCCTCAGAGGTCACCAAAAGTCACTCCACGATGGCTTGGAATTTAGTTTTCGTGCCCACAATAAACCTCTTCTCACAGTACGGCAAAAAACAAGAGAGTAAAGGTTTCCAAGAAATATTGTGAGTGGGGTTTGTACAAGTGGAGAGGAGTTTTGTGGTCAAATGAAATGACTTTACAATGACTGGTGTAGTGAAACAGGAAGGGTTTATTATGCACCTCATTTTGACCCACACCTCCCATAGTACACTGCCAAGACTGAAATATCCTGCATCACTCATAGTGAGGATTTTATTATCATTTTTATTATCACACTGGCCGATTCCCACCAAGGCAGGGTGGCCCGAAAAAGAAAAACTTTCACCATCATTCACTCCATCACTGTCTTGCCAGAAGGGTGCTTTACACTACAGTTTTTAAACTGCAACATTAACACCCCTCCTTCAGAGTGCAGGCACTGTACTTCCCATCTCCAGGACTCAAGTCCGGCCTGCCGGTTTCCCTGAATCCCTTCATAAATGTTACTTTGCTCACACTCCAACAGGATGTTTCACTTAATATGGAGTTGGAGAATTAGTACTGCTTCCCAAAAAATGACATGATAAATCATAATTATTTGAAGCTCTTTATGAATTATTTACCTAACTCATTTGAAAAAGCCAAAACATTGTGTATGCAAGATGGTGCTCTTTGTCATACCACCAAGTGTCAAAATGTGGGTAAGTGATTGTGAGGTACTCCATTTAGTGATTGGCCAGGTAACAGCCATGACCTAAACCTAACAGAAAATTTGGGGTCACTTATGAAACATTATGTAAGAAACCGTGACATGTCATCCATCTCAAAGCTAGCAGAAGCTATTAACCCTTTCAGGGTCGAGAGACCCTCTCCTAAACTCGTTCTCAGGGTTGAAAATTTTTCAGGGGGGGGGGGGGGTTCTTATAAAATGATAGAGAATCTTTTCCCGATCATAATGACACCAAAAGTATGAAATTTTATGGAAAACTTACGGAATTATGCTCTCGCGCAGTTAGCGATCTCGACGATGTTTATGCATCGGCAATTTCTCCCACTTTGAGCCCTATTTTCAGCCAATTTCAATGTACTAGTTGACAAAACTCATATCTATTTTGCTACAACTCCATTTTTTTCTATCAAATGAGTACAAGAAACCACCCATTTACCTATTTCAACTATCCAATAAAGTGGTCAGAAATTGGCAATTTTGCCAATTTCACACAAATTTCAGAAGATGCCAATTTCCAAATAGGGTCCAGAATAAACAAGACTTACATTCCTGGCACTACAATAATATTTTATCTGTTCATTAGTCAAGTCCCCAGGCCCCTCTTACATCCCCTGCTTTCCACTTTGAATTTTTATTCTCACAAAAACTAGAAGAATACTGCATTGGTGTAGAAATGGTTGACGTATATTGGACGCTTGGCATGATTTGTTTACTATTGAACTTTGGTAAAAATTGAGCATATATGCTACTTTGAGCTCAATTTCAAGGTACTTTTCATTATGAAACCAATCAAAATCACCTCAATTTCTGTAATATGTCTTCCATCTGTAATATGTCTTCCATTCTATAAAATGAGACCAGGAAAACTAAAATACACCCATAAATACCATACAAAAATACACTGCGAAGTCGCTGTTTTAAACCAAAAACATGGTCGGAGTTTTTTTTCTCATTATGCACTGTGTGCTGTAGGATTTTTTGTACTGTGCACAATGACCACATAGATCCATTCTTTCATATGTAGGCCTACCAGCTTTCTATCACTAGAAATTAAGCGAACTAGTACGTCAATAACATTGGTGGGTAAGCCGTACTAGTACGCCAGAAACCCCGAAAGGGTTAAGGACATCTGGGCATCATTAGTACCCTTCAAAATTCATATAATGGTGTTCCTTGAAGGCTTAAGGACTGCATGAAGAGCAAGGGTAATTCAACCAAAAATTAACTACAGTGGTAAATTTTTTTTAGCCAAGATCATAACTTTCCTTGCAGATTGTACATGACAGAAAATATAGTAAACCATACCCCCGGCCGGGATTGAACCCGCGGTCCCCCGCTTTTCGTAGTTCCCGGCAATCGTAAAATTCGCCAATCATAGGGGTATTTTCGTATAAACATGGACTCGCTTTTCATAGGTTGACTCGCGAGTCGTAGTTCGTCCAGGACGCATACCCACGGCGTGAGCCAGGGCGGCATCCAGGCTGGCATTGTTTACCAGTGAGTGAAGGTTCCCTCACGTGCTCCAGCGAAATATTTCATAATATTCCATTTATTTTTAGTGCTTGCAAGTACTGAATAAGCTACCATGGCTCCAAAGAAAGCTCCTAGTGCCAAGCCTGTGGTAAAGAAGGTGAGAAATACGACTGAATTTAAGAAAACCATCATTGAACAATATGAAAGTGGTACAAGTGTGGCCGAACTGTCCAGGATGTATAAGAAACCCTACACAACCTAATGTTCCATAGTGGCCAAGAAAAAGGAAATAAAGGATGCTGTTGTTGCAAAGGGAGTAACTATGCTGACAAAAATGACATCACCAGTACTGGAAGAGGTTGAGAAGTTATTATTGATGTGGATAAATGAGAAACAATTAGCAGGAGATACTCTTATGACTTCGAATATTTGTGAAAAGGCTAGGCAGTTGCATGAAGATTTGGTCAAGAAACTGCCTGCAAATAGTGGTGAAGTGAGTGAATTTAAGGCCAGCAAAGGCTAGTTTGAGAGATTTAAGAACCGTACTGGTATACACAGTGTGGTAAGGCATGGTGAGGCTGCCAGTTCGGACCACAAGGCGGCTGAAAAATATGTGCATGAATTCCAGGAGTACATAGAGGCTGAAGGACTGAAACCTTAACAAGTGTTCAGTTGTGACGAAACAGGCCTCTTTTGGAAGAAAATGCCAAAGAGGACCTTCATTACACAAGAGGAAAAGGCAATGCCAGGACACAAGCCTATGAAAGACAGGCTGACGCTAATGTTCTGTGCTAATGCTAGTGGGGATTTCAAAGTGAAGCCATTACTAGTGTACCATTCTGAAAATCCCAGTGTGTTCAGGAAAAACAATGTTATGAAGAGTAAATTGTGTGTGTTTTGGAAATCTAGTAGTAAGGCATGGGTCACGAGGGAAATTTTCGTCGAGTGGTTCAATGAGGTGTTTGGCCCTAGTGTGAAGGAGTATCTCCTGGAAAAGAAATTGGATCTCAAGTGCCTGTTAGTAATGGACAATGCACCAGCTCATCCTCCAAACTTGGATGATCTAATTTTTGAGGAGTTTGGGTTCATCACAGTAAAGTTCTTGCCCCCGAATACCACTCCTCTCCTCCAACCCATGGACCAGCAGGTTATTGCAAACTTAAAAAATTCTACACAAAAGCAATGTTTCACAGGTGCTTGACTGTGACCACAGACACTCGCTTGACCCTAAGGGAATTTTGAAGAGAACACTTCAGCATCCTCCACTGCATAACCCTTATAGGTATGGCTTGGGAGGGAGTGACTACCAGGACTTTGAACTCTGCCTGGAGAAAATTGTGGCCAGATTGTGTCGACAAGAGGGATTTTGAAGGATTTGGGACTGACCCTAATGAGCCTATGTCTGTTGTAAAATCAATTGTGGCACTGGGGAGTTCCATGGGGTTGGATGTGAGTTTGGAGGATGTGGAAGAATTGGTGGAAGACCACAATGAAGAGCTCACCACTGAGGAGCTGCAAGAGCTTCAGCAGGAAGAACAACACATTGCAGCTCAGAATCTTGCTGCAGAGGAGGAGGAAGAGAGATGGAAGAAGGTGCCTTCTTCAGAAATTAAAGAGATTTTTACTATGTGGGGTAAGATGGAAGTGTTAAAGAGACGCCAGAAACAGAGCTCTCTCCACAGTTATTTTGTGAGACAGGACTCCAGTGACTTTCAAGGTGGTCCTAGTGGCATTAAGAAACAGAGAAGAGAAGCAACCCCAAAAAAGCAAATGGTACCTGAGGTGTTGATGGAAGGGGATTCCCCTTCCAAACCATAAACAATCCACTCTCTCTCCTCCTCCAGTCTCCCATACACTAAGAAGAATCTCCAATAAAGGTAAGTGTTATGCTGTTAATGTTTCATTCATCATTTCCCATTGTATTGTTTATGTACTACATGTATATTTCATGTTAAAAATTTTTTTGTTTTAATACTTCTCGGTGTCGGGAACGGATTAATTGTATTTACATTATTTCTTATGGGGAAAATTGATTCGTAATCGTAAATTTCGTTTATAGTAACAGCTCCAGGAACGGATTAATTACGAAAAACGAGGGACCACTGTATATCATGTAAGTGTCAACGAGCATCTGCCTTTACTGGTAACAAAGAGCAAGTACAATTCAATAAATGAGATGGATGTACACACAACTATGACCTACAACTCCACCTTCAAAAAAACTTACTAAATTGTTGTGAGGTTGTCGAGGCCTCCATGTCAATAGCAACCTGCTCATCAGTGCTTACAGACTCGCCGGCACGCCATCGTCCAAGCTCAAGATCCATTTTCTCCAATTGTGCCTTTAGCTTCGCTACCTGTACCACAACATACAAAGCAAATTTATGAATTAAAGCAATGTTTTAACCCTTAGGCAATTTGTTAAGAATTACACTGCCATCAGAAATAGGTACACCAGTTGGTTCTCCTTACTGATTGAATCTCTACCTTGAGAGATATAAAGAAATCATAATTTCTTTTAGTTATATTCCACTGACTAAACTATAATTTTAATCCTTCAGTAAAAGTTCAACAAAACTCAAGAAACAAACACAACCTTCTCTTTCTCCTTCTCATAACGACGTTTCCATTCCTCAGCTGTGAGCTCCTCATTGACTGTCACCACATTCTTCACAGTTTTAGCTCTGCCAGCAAGAATGAGTTTCAAATTAAATACAGTTTATGTCATCTTACTAATACAGCGTATACATATACACATACATCGCTTTCAAAATGTTTCAGCTGCTTACAACAGAACTGTATATACAAGCATTAATACTCAAAACACATTCTCTAAGTATTGTATCTAGACATTACCTCTTGCCAAAGTCAAGTGTGGACTTGGTTTCAGACTCATTGAAGGAAGCCGGAGAACAGCAAATAACAATAGTAGTTCGGGCATTACCACCAAGTGATTCTTGAAGAATTCGAGTGAGCTTAGAATCTCGATATGGAACATGTGTTTTGGTGTTATCAGCAAGGGCAGAAATAACATTGCCCAAGGCTGATAGTGATTTGTTAATATTCTTAGCTTCATCTAAAACAGCACCCTCTGCCCCAGTCTTGCTTACCTGTTTACAAATAATATGATACATTCAGCAAATTACTACCTTTTTTTTGTTCTATTTTAAGCTTTAAATTGTTTTGTTAAAGTTCAATATTACTACTACAGGTCCGCCATCACAAATCCGGCAATCAGTTATTCGGTTCCTTCAGTTATTCGGCACTAATTTTGGCTAGCATAATTTCAAATTTCCAGGGTCGCCACACCAACCTGCTGGTACTGTTTGGTGGCACACAAGTCATTCCAATTTCTTTTTCTCCATTTATTGTTTTAACCTGCTTACTTATAGCCCTAGCCTTAGTTCCAATGAATAAAAGAAATGCTCATTATGTAAAGCACCTACACAGTACATTATACATTAAAGATAAGGTGGCTTTGAAGCCACTGTCAGTTGCCATGAACTCAGTCTCATGAAGCAGGAGAATATGCTTTATTATTATGCTAATATCAACACTACAGCTTATTTGCCTATCACAATTGATCTAATATGACATAAGAAACAATATAAATAACATAAAACATGTTAAATACTCCAGAATGAATAATATTTGGCATAACACCGAGCAGTTCGACGGAGGTATAAAGAGGATATGGTATACAAATACCATTCTCCTATCCCTGTCTTGGGGGTTTATATTAGAGAAAACGGAGTGTAGCACAGGGCTAACTGTGATATACACTCGTATTCCACCATAAACATGAAACAAAAGTTATTTTCTCTATATAGATTATCTCACACAGCACCATATGTGTAGAGAACCTAGGATAACCCAAAAAAAGTCAACGTGGCTTACTTTTAGTACCTGGCTTGGGTTAGCCATATATGATTTTTGGTAAATATTCGACTCCCAGCCAGGGTAGAAACATTAAGCGTGTTTCTTTACACCTGTTGTCTATGTTTACCCCATCAGTAAATGGGTACCTGGGTGTTAGTTGACTAGTGTGGGTGTTATCCTGGGACACTGACCTAATTTTCTTGAAATACTCTGCATAACAAGCGGCTTTCTATATAGTAGTATGTCACTGATATCAGCTAGGCCTGTATACCTTGTACATGTACGTGTAGTAAATAAAGATATTATTATTATTATATTTTCTCAGTTGTTTGTTGGGTTATCTTATTCAAACTTGGGCAATGTATGATGGAAAGATACTTCTTCACGTACACCAAAAATGAAAGAAATCAGACCATAAATAGCGGAGTTCACTTCTCAGCCATTAGCGGCCACTTAGCGGTATATTTTTGTATGGTTGTTATGGTTATATTCTCATTTTTACGGTCTCATTTGATAGAATGAAAGATATATTACAGAAATAGATATGATTTTGATTGCTTTCATGACGAAAAGTACCTAGAAATTGCGCTCACAGTAGCGAAAATGTTCTGTTCTTTAGCGAAGCTCAAGAGTAAACAAATGACGTCACCGTCCAATACCTGTCCACCGGCCAGTCCAATACGGAGTCAAGAATGGCTTGACATTATTTATACAATTATTACAATAATGCAGAAGTCTGCATAACAGTAAATCTTTTTTTTTTTTTTTTTTTTTTTTTTTGTGAATAAAAATTCCAAATGAAAAGCAAGAGTAATATAAGAGGGGCTTGTAGCTGTGACTAATGAACAGAGAAAATGTTATTTCATTGCCAGGAATGTCTGCATTATTTATTCTGGATCCTATTTTGAAATTGGCATCTGTTGAAATTAGTGTGAAATCGGCCAAATTGCCAATTTCTGACCACTTTATTGGGTAGTTGAAATAAGTGAATGGGCGGTTTCTTGTACTCAGTTGACAGACTACAAGTAAATAAGTTTATTCAGGTATACACAAATACAGTTACATAGATTATCATACATAACAGTGTATGTATAGAGAACCTAGGATAATCCAGAAAAGTCAGACAAAGTGACTTATTTCCAGTACCTGGCTTGGGCTTGCCATATATAATTTTTGGTAAATATTTTTTTTTCTCTGTTGTTTGTTGGGCTATCTCATTGAAACTTGGGCAACGTATGATGGAAAGATGCTTCTTAACGTACAACAAAAATAAAAAAGACGGATGATAAATAAGGGAGTTAACTTCTCAGCCAATAGCCGCCTCTGCAGTATATTTTTGTATGTTTTTTTTATGGTTGTATTCTCATTTTTTTGGACTCGTTTGATAGAATGGAAGATATATTACAGAAATAGACATGATTTTGATTGCTTTCATGACGAAAAGTACCTTGAAATTGAGCTCACAGTAGCGGAAATATTCGATTTTTGCCAATGTTCAATGAACTGTGTAAGTGAAGTTGGTTAATTTTATTACGTGTATTCTAACCTAACCACTCTGTAATTCAGCAAACTCAGTAATCCGGCACACTACATGTCCCAATGATGCCGGATTTGTGATGGAGAACCTGTACACAAATTTTTTTCATTTTAAAAAATTTATTTCCCTAGGTAAAATGCATCATTTAAATACTACTGTATATTTAAATTCAAGAACTATACACAAAATGTTAACCATAACATTTGCATTAATCTTCAATCATATAAAGGCAATTTCTATATGTTGTTGTGCTTCTTAATTGCCATTAGATTAAGACTTAAAATGTGCAGTACAGTAGACATTAATGAAGGGAAGTCATTATTGGTATTTTAACCCATGGGAGGGCTTTATCAAGTACTGTACATGTACTTATTTGATAAGGCCACCGTGTGTGAAGTACTGTATCTAAAAATATTCCTTGCATTCAATGTCTTCTCACCACTTGTCAGCATTTTACACACACACATAAAATAAATAAATAAAAAAAAAAAGTGTGTGTGTGTGTGTTCACCTAACTGTACTCACCTAATTGTGGTTGCAGAGGTCGAGACTCGGCTCCTGGCCCCGCCTCTTCACTGATCGCTACTAGGTCCTCCCCCCCCCCCCCGTATGCTGCAGCAGTTATTTGGTTGATGTGTGCCTCCGGTGATGTGCTCGGTGTTATGGTCACCCCAAGGTCTTTCTCCCTGGGTGAGGTTTGTAGTCTTTGTCCACCTAGCCTATACTCTCTCTGCAGTCTTCTTTGCACCTCCCCAATCTTCATGACTTTGCATTTGGCTGGATTGAATTCGAGAAGCCAGTTACTGGACCACATGTCCAGCCTGTCCAGGTCTCTTTGCAGTCCTGCCTCATCCTCATCCAATTTAATTCTTCTCATCAACTTCACATCATCTGCAAACAGGGACACTTCGGAGTCTATTCCTTCCGTCATGTCGTTCACATATATCAAAAATAGCACTGGTCCTAGAACTGACCCCTGTGGGACCCACTCGTCACAGGCGCCCAACTGTGATACCTCTTCACGTACAATGACTCGTTGCTGCCTCCCTGTCAGGTATTCCCTTATCCATTGCAGTGCCCTCCCTGTTACATGCGCCTGATCCTCCAGCTTCTGCACTAATCTCTTGTGGGGAACTGTGTCAAAGGCCTTCCTGCAGTCTAGGAAAACGCAATCTACCCACCCCTCTCTCTCTCGTGTCTTACTTCTGTTACCTAGTCATAAAACTCCAGGAGGTTTGTGATACAGGATTTGCCTTCCATGAACCCATGCTGGTTTTCATTTATAACCTTGTTCCTTTCCAGGTGTTCGACCACTCTCCTCCTGATAATCTTCTCCATGACTTTGCACACAATACATGTCAGAGACACAGGTCTGTAGTTTAGCACCTCGTTTCTGTTTCCTTTCTTAAATATGGGGACTATATTAGCTGTCTTCCATTTCTCAGGTAGTTGCCCAGTTTCAAGGGATGTGTTGAAGATTGTGGTTAGAGGCACGCACAGCATCTCTTCTCCTTCTCTAAGGATCCCATGGGAGATGTTGTCCGTCCCATCGCCTTTGAGGTGTCAAGGTCACTTAGGAGCTTCTTCACCTCCTCCTCGGTTGTTCGTATGTCATTCAACACTTGTTGTATGTTCCCCTTGATGTTCCCTTCTGTGCTGTCTTCCCACAGCCCTTCCTGTCTCTACTGTAAAAACTTCCTTAAATCTCCTGTTCAGCTCCTCACATACCTCCTGATCATTTCTTGTGAGTTCTCCACCTTCTGTCCTTAATCTGATCACCTGGTCTTTGACTGTTGTCTTCCTCCTGATGAGGCTATACAGCAGTTTCGGGTCAGTCTTGATTCTCGATGCTATGTCATTTTCATACTGTCGCTGGGCCTCCCTCCTTACCTGTGCATACTCATTCCTGGCTCTGCGACTGATCTCCCTATTTTCGTGTGTTCTCTGCTTTCTGTACTTTTTCCATTCTCTATTGCACTTTGTTTTTGCCTCCTTACACCGTCGGGTAAACCAGGGGCTCGCTCACACGTGTGTGTGTGTGTGTGTGAGTGAAAGAATAGAGAAGTTCCAAGCACTTTCGTGACTACTCACATTATCAAGGAACAATGAAAGTAAAGCATCAAAGAAGGAATATAAAGGGAAAGCCCACACCTCACTATCAGATCCCACAACAACGAAACACCTGACGTGAGACAGCAGGCCCGCCGGCCGAACTAGACAGGTCCTTCGTACAACCCACCAACAAACTATTCTACCCAAGAAATAAGAAATTTAAAAAATTATTATTTGTCCAATGTATTATTAAATTCTTCCCAAATTCTATTAATTATAAATGGATCTAATTTATATAAACCAAAGGAAATATTCTTATTATTGTCAAAACTGCTTTTTATGAAACAAGATTCAATTATATTCCTGTCGACCATAGACTTCTTGAACTACTTCTCAACTTTTTGAAAATCAATTGGATGGTTAAAATCTCTTACATGAATAAATAGAGCATTGGAACTTGCCATTCAAAGCTTTTTTTTATGTTGTTTTAAAAACTTATTCGAGATTTTCCAGTTTGACCGACAAAATTTATCGCAAATTTACAAGGAATCTTTGACAAATCCCGCAGCATTTTGGGGGAATTCTTTATCAAAAGTTTTTTTTTACTGTACCAAGATTTTTGAATACAACTTTAATATTAAA